GTTTAACTTCTTCATATCAACCAAGAGCGAAGGAATGGTTTTTAGTCAGTAGCATGTTATGATGAATGGAAATCAGGTTTGTTCAAATAAATGACCTTGACCCACTTCCATGGTAACGGGCCAAATTTGTAAAAAGTTTCAATCATCTCTGAACAACCAAGATGAATTTGGCTTGTACTTTGCTTGGGGAAGGGCTTTCAAGTTTATTTTACCTTCTCTCATGGTCGCTTGGTTAAAATTTGTAACGACATTTTTACCACTTCTAAATAAACAAAAGACCTTGGGTGATTATATGTGGCGAGAAACATGCTAGGATGAAGGAATTTCAAGTTCGTTCAAATAAATGGCCATCACCCAAAGTCAAGGTCACAGACTTGGGTCGAAAGTATTAAAACTTTTAGATGACTTCTTCTGGCTAGATAAGAGTCCTAGTGTGATGATAATTTGCTAGTAGCATGTTGGGATGAAGAGCTGTCAAGTTTGTTCAAATAAATGACCCTGACCTAGACTTCCTTTAAAAGTCTCAGTCAGGGGTAAACAAACAGCATGTGCATGATAAATAACCAATATGTTCACTTTGTGTGATGATACTTGACTTCCATGCAGTAGCTCGCAGGGATGATTGGACACAAAGTATATTTATTGTACAAGATACAATTCCCGGGGAATTAAGATACAAGATACAAGAAGCTTTATTTAGAGTCGCAAACATATCAATCTGATTAAAATCATCTGTTACATGGCTCCGCCTGAACATGTTCAGGCGTAGGACGAAGTTAACGAAGCCATGTAACATATGATTTCAATCAGATTGCAAACAAACATAATGTAATAGTATTAGTAGTAATGAGTTAATATAAATAGCATAGCAGACATTTTTTACATTACATAAAAATACACGGTAATTTCACATGTAAGTTAGACAATCAATTGCACATTTTTTTTAATAATATCACAAGGCCTGACACTTATTTATATTATGTTTTTCTTATATAAAATTCAGAGGTTTGACACATACAGTATTTATGAACGATGTGTTTCTACACTGAATGTTAAAACACTATCTGTAATCTATACAAGTGTTGTATACATACATGCTAATAAAGCAAAGGGTAAAAATTGACCTGATATACACTAACATAGTGTTGATTAAAAACCAGCATTTCATATAGTAAAGAAGAATAAGAGTTAAGAGAGAAAGCTAATAGTAACATAAGTAGTAAAATTTGATTCAATACATGAAATATTATAGTAATCCCAGGAATTCATATCACAGTCTATTTACCTAAAATTGTTAAACCTGATTTTAGCACTAAAATGGTTAAAAGTCAGTCAGCAGAGGTGCGATAGATTGAACAGCTACAGATGGGTCCACTCCAGGTGTGGATCATTCTCCTGAAACCCGGAAAGTTGTCTACCTTCCGGAACTCATTTGGGAGAGTGACATTCCACACCCTAGCAGCCTCAAATGTGAAAGATTTCTGTCCATACTTAACTGTTCTAACCCTATACACCTCTGCTGCATTCTCCTGTCTTAGATTATAATTCGAAGACTTAAGTTTTAGAAGATCATGGATGTAATCGGGGGAAAGTTTGTTCAGAATTTTAAAAACTTCACATCCCATATCCTTAAGTCTTCTTACATGTAAATAATCTGCATTGGACAATATTAAAAGTTCAGTAAAAGACGAGACATAATCATTGGGGATAAAACGAAGAGCACGCTCTTTTCAAGTTTCTTAACCCTCCTCATACTGGTGAAATTTCAAACTAGAGGGCAGTAATTAACATTTGAAACAATAAAAGAGTTGTACTATATCACACTCCTTCCTTGTTTCGTCAAAAAATTGCCTAAGCGCTTCAGAACAGCTAGTTGTCGTGAGGCTTTTTTACATAGTTCGGAGATGTGAAATTCAAAATTTAACATGGAGTCAAAATGTACTCCGAGGATTTGCCCATATGATTAGATTCAAGCCATTCCATTAAATGTACACAATCTTTTTTCTATATTTGATTTTGAAACTTGAGGGTATCTGTTTGTATCGCTTACAGTGTTGTCATCGGTGTAATTGAACAATTTTGATGACTTTACATATAAAAACATGTCATTTATAAAAATGTTAAAATAAGAAAATTTACTCACGTTTAAGGTCACTAAGGTCAGATGTGTAAATAAATACTTCAAAATTATTTCTTGTTTTATAACCAAGATACATAGGGTTATATATGATATCTAGTCATTAGCATACTATGGTATCTAGTCAGTAGCATACTATGGTATCTAGTTAGTAGCATACTATGATATCTAGTTAGTAGCATACTAGAGTAGATTTGTAGAAAAGAATTAAATACCTTGAACCTTTTCCAAGATCAAAGTGGTCAGATCTGTAAAATCTTAACAAGTTCTGAAAACAGAGGGCGAAGTTCATGATGCTTTTTTATCCTGTTACCGATGGAGTTGTGTGTCTCTGAGTTTGTAAGATTCCGGTGTTTATCTAGTTTTCGGTATCAAAAACAGGAAATTGTTAATTAGATAAGTCTAACACAGTAGGTCGCTTCCGTATTGAATTCGAAACGAACAAACATTCATGCAAATAATTGTAACTACGTACGTGTTTCTTCACATAATTAACTGCGTACGTGTATCTTCACATAATTAACTACGTACGTGTATCTTCACATAATTAAAGATTATATTCATTTCAATTGTAGACATTTTCACTTCACTTGTAGAAATAATCTTCTCAATTTAAGATGTTTTCAATTGAGTTGAAAGTACCCATACCATGTATACAGTTCAGTTGGACCTATTTTTCTGTTGAATTTAATGCATAAAAGATCAAACGACAAATCTTTAATTGAACTCATCTTTAATTGATTAAATTTAGGTTCAGTACAATGGAAGATAGAGATGGAGATGTAGTATTTATATCCAATTTCAATAACCTCATTGGCGAATAAGGGAATTTCGAAAAGCGGTCGTGGTTGGGGTTGGGGATTGGGTTGGGGTTTCATTTTTTTTTAAGTTATTGAATGTGTATACTGTGAGCAGCGAATGTGCAAAGATCCTCTGGGTGATGATACACTCGTTCTGAAATGCTATCTAAAAGCTACCTAAGGTAGCTGATACGGTTTTTTCGTTTATATATCTTAAATTGAATTCATATATATATAAGGACGCAGTACCCAAATCGGATCAGTACCCAAAATCGGATCACTTTTTGCCAAAATACTTATAAATAAATAAATGCAGCACACCGAAGCGAGAGGAGGGGGAGGGTATGGGAGGGGGTCTTACCCCTTCCCATCGGTGTGGGTCTGGGAGGTCTCCCCCAGGAGAATTTTGTTTTCTAGAACGCCTGAGACGCGTTCTCCCGTGTTCTGGCATCAGTTTAGATGGCCCTTTTAAAGCAAGAAAATATAATTTTCCCCAATTATTTTAAAAATATTTTGTTTTTTAATATCTTAAATCATATCGTCTATGTCGCTTTTTTATTATTAAAATGATGTGTTGCCCGAGCTTATTTTTGCTACATAGGTTGTTACGCGCCTGGTTATATATAATAAGCTGATTGGTAACGCTGGCATATCAAAGGAACTTGTGCAAGTCTCGATATTTCCGGACTAACTTAATCCGTTTCCACGCTTTGCCATTTAGAATACACTTTTCACCCACATGGCNCACAGGACCGTGTATGTTATTAGATGTATGTATCAAGTATTTCATTTTTCAGGTTCAAATGTTTCCGTTTAAAAGTCATTATTACACATATTTTGAACTTATTCATTGCTAACTTTACTAATGTGAAGAATAATCCCGCACAGGACCGTGTATGTTATTAGATGTATGTATTAAGTATTTCATCGTGCAGGTTCAAATGTTTCCATTTAAAAGTCATTATTACACATGTTTTGAACGTATTCATTGCTAACTTCACTAATGTGAAGAAAAATAACGGATATATTTAACATTTGATTTCCTGATCAGGATGCCCGCTCAGGGCCGTGTATTTTGTCAGACGTATACATTCAGTATTTTGTAGTTCGAGTTGCATCTTTCTTTTTTGAAAATCATTATGACACATCTTTTAACCGTGTTCATCACTAACTTAACTTATATGACGAAAAAGGCCGGATATATTTAACATTTGATTTCTTCATCAGGATGTCCCCGCTCAGGACAGTGTTTATTGTAAGATGTATATATATAGTATTTCGTCGTCCATATTACCTATTTTTTCTTTTAAAAATCATAATGACACACCTTTTAACCGTGTTCATCCCTAACTTAACTTATATGACGAAAAATAAACGAATATATTTAACATTTGATTTCCTGATCAGGATACCCACGCTCGGGACCATGTATGCTATAAGATGTATATATAAAGTAATTCGTCGGGTTTTTTATGCCTCTTTTTGCATTCAAAAGTCATTATGACCCTATTTATTGCTATATTTATTAATGTGATATAACGGATATAACTAACATTTGATTACCTGATCAGGATGTCCCCGCATAGGACCGTGTATGTTATTTGATGTATATATTTAGTATTTCGTCGTTCATGTTACTTATTTTTATTTAAAAATCATTATGACACATCGCTTGACCGATTCATTGCTGCTGACTTAACTAATGAGAAGATTCACAATGGATATGTTTAACATTTGATTTCCATATAAGGATGTCCCCGCTCAGGACCTGTATTTTCGTTGTTAAATGATCAAAGGGAGGTAACTGCTATATTCCTACACCGCATTATGAGTTCTGCTACACTTTTTGTATTAAAAACAATGATCATAATCACTTTGTCTTGATAATTTGATGCTGATACTTTCCCATGCTAAACATTAGTCACATATTGATACAAATCATGGCAGACTTTTGCTAAAACAAGTGTATGAAAACGCCACAATGTGCAACGGTCCTGGTCAGCGACGGTCCCCGTCAGCCCCGGTTCCAGTGAGGGCAGCTCAGCTGTTAGACACTGTTGCACATGGCTAGTAAAAGAGCAGGAAGGAGAGAGCTACTAGCTATAGGTTGACCTGTCTCAGGTAATCATGCATCGTACGGTTGCTGCCATTATTGTGTGATGCTTCGAATATGCTTTCAGTGATTCATTGCATTAAATGCAACAATGTGTAACTTCAAATATAGTGCATATATGAGTACTTTGAAATCGTAAACAGTAAAGTACTTCAGTAGGCTAACAGAAATAACAGCCTAAACAGGCAGACAGGGGCTGCACACTCAAAACAAAAGTTACTTTATGTTGAAATTTTGGATATTTTCAAAATATTGACAAATTATCAGTCGGCATACTTTGGGACATATGCCACTAAATTGAATACCTGTAAGTATGCCTAATGTGGGAAATTCAGTTTAAAAATGAAAGTTGATGTGTTTACTATGTTGTCAAACAGTGCGTCTTTAAAACATTCCTATTATTAATCTAAATTTTACAGTAACTGTGGTATTTAATGCATACACAGCACTTTGTTATCCTGCAGTTAAATGATCATACTGATAATGAGACATGCAACCATGTATTATGTTATTATATAGGGTTAACATAACTTAATTTCTCTCATCATTGTAAAGGAAGGCTAATAAGACGAGGAAGCAAACTTTTAAGATTGTCATGCACGGCAGGTGACAAGAAAAGAAAAGACCTGCATGAATATTGCAAAAGAAGCACTTGTTCAAAGGGTCCATGAAATAGATCTTTTAACAGTTTCAGCACTTAAGGAAATGCACAGCCAGACCCGTATTTAACTCTAGACAAACGCTCTACCAATTGAGCTACCTGTTGCCGACGATTGACCCAGTCCAGTTGAAGTCTTCGACCCGGAAAACACAACTATTTATAACCCAGATTTGGTTATCCCCTTACCTGCATTGAGCACTCACACACAGTACCTGAAACAATTAAGGGTTGGCAACCTTTTTAATTTTATAATAGGATCGAGCGGAAAAATTCTCTGCCAGACCGAGATATGAACCCAGAATCCTCTGAACTCTAGACAGATTCTCTAACAGTTAAACAACCTGGTAGCCGACCCAATCCAGTTCCACTACTTTTTTCTATGTAGGCCACAATGTCACTACAAGGAAAACATTTATGAAAAGAAGAAGATATTTGAATCCAGGGCTGGTAATTCATGCATGCATTCTGTGCTCATAGTTTACCTGTGAGACTTGTCAACTGATTGAGGACTCCCTATATCCTGGGCCCGTATTCATGAAACCATTCTCATGCTCAAGCATGGATTTTGTGCTCAAGTCTAATTTCTTGTTCCAGTTATAAATTGTTTAAAAAAAACACATTCTTATTTAAGTTTGTGACAAAAATTGAAGAGACTTAAAGCAGAATACTGTTTTCAATATTTGAATTTAACTTTTTGATCATTGACATGATTCTGGTGAGTTACAAGAAAGTTTGCTTCAGCACAGTATCCATGCTTGAGCATTAGACCGGTTTCATGAATACGGGCCCAGATAATGGGACATATTTATATAGCCCTGAAAAAAATGTTAAGGACTTGCCTAAAAAAATATATGCAAAAATCACTGTTAAATTGTTGACCATCTCACTGTTGTGTTGATAACCACTGGGGCTGTAATAAGCCAGGTTGTCTTTTGTTAGAACAGTACTGCAGTCAATTCACTTGTTCTTCATATTTTCTATGGTTTTATTTAGCTGCAATCATTGCAATGGAAGTACCAGGTGAGGTGAAAAAGAATGTCCGGTCAGTCCTGCTGTCAAAGATTGGCGGGGTACTAGTTAGTGAATTTGGCAAGGACTACAAAAGTCTTCTACAGAAGCCTTTACATTTCAAGAACTGGGGCTTCCAATCAATGACAGATTTTATAAAGGCTATGCCAGATGTTGTCAGGTAATTTGGATTAAACAGGTTTGTTTTATTGTTTTCAAATAAATTCAGAAAAAATCATAAATATTCCAACATACTTATCACAAATATGGGCTTATGTAATGAAATTATATCATGCACACCTAACACATTTTGCCTATAGGATACCCATGTCTTAAGTCTCTGAGAGATGGGTAAACACATGTTGTAGTGTAAGATTTATTACATAAAATTTACATATATGGTTCCATATGTATCATTTATAGTCCATGAATACTGTCTACATAGTACATGAATAGTTTTCATTTTATAGCAATGGTTAATTGCAATGTCAATTTTGAAAACAAGCTTTAATGCATGAAAGCTTCAATACCTGGTATTTTGTTGAGATTTGAGCCTTATTTGATATCATCTGTAAGTTTTTGATGTGTAACTGCAAAAAGAAGATATTGTACAATCTAGATCCATGTACTGATAATAAGCTTTACCAGACTAGATATTTTTTATTTATGAAATGCTGTATATAACGCTCCATCTCTGGAATTCAGCATGTAAAATTTATACAAAGGAAAGAACAATGATCCTGTGTTATGCATCAAACTGATATCCTAAATCTTATTTTCCAGATTGGAATTTGATGATAATGCAATGGCCTATAAGATGTTTGGTATTGGTGACTCCAAAATGTACATGTCTGGATCAGCCAAAAAGGCACAGCGAGGCTTTGGAGGGACAGCGGATCCAGCAAATGGTAACTTTAATGAAGGGAGATAATCCTTTTTTCACTTAAAATTGCAGAAATTCCACAGTCACACACTGTTTTTTTCTGGAAAAATAAATAAATATTAAATAAAAATCTGGTAGAAATGTTCATGAGCTTGAATTTTAACCTTAAACTATGTCTTAGAATGTTTGAAAGGATTAAAAACCTAGCTTATTGGTACAGGTGGGTTTCACTTCTGGCTTTAGAAGCAATATCTTACTTGACAAGGACAGGCAGACTGGCTGTATATATATGATTTCAAAATTATAGCAGTGTCAATTAGTGGTCCTATTATTAGCTCACCGGGTCCGAAGGACCAAGGTGAGCTTATGCCATACTGTATCATCCGTTCGTCCGTCAACAATTTCTTTTAACGACTTCTTTTTCTTAACCACTAATTCAAATTTAACTGAATTTGACTGGAAGCATCCCTAGGTGGTGGGGATTCAAAATTGTACAAATGATGGGGCTGACCCCCCAGGGGGCTGAGGGGAGGGGCAAAAAGGGGGCAATTTGGCTATATTGCTTTAAGCAACTTCTTCTCTGGAACTAAGAGATGGATATCATCCATATTTGACTGGAAGCATCCCTAGGTGGTGGAGATTCAAAATTGTACAAATGGTTGGGCTGACCCCACAGGGGGCTGAGGGGCGGGGCCAAAAAGGGGTAATTTGGCTATATTGCTATAAACAACTTCTTCTGTAGAACCATGCCATGGATATCGATCATATTTGGTCGGAAGCATTCATGGGAGGCATGGATTCAAAATTGTACAAATGGTTGGGATGACCCCCCAGGGGGCTAAGGGGTGGGGCTAAAAAAGGTTTAATACTTGGAAGTGGTTGAGATCCCCACCATATAACCATATATCAAATTGCTGAGTGTTAAGAGAAGAATGCACATTTGCTTCCAGGATGGCTCTAGGGTCTGGCCCCACCCTTGGAGACATAGTCCCTGGGCCATAACTTTAAAACGGTTGAGATCCTCACCCCAAAACTATATATACAAATGCTGGGCATAAAGAGACGAATGCCGTCGTGATATTATATTTAACCCCAGGGTCTGCCCCACCCTTGCAGATTTAACCCCTGGGGCATAGCTTTGAAACGGTTGAGATCCCAACCCCAAAACTATAAATACAAATGCTTGGCAAAAAGAGACGAATGCAGTAATGATGTTAGAATTGATCCTGGGGTCTGGCCACAACCCTATAGGGACCTAGTTTCTGAGTCACAGCTTGGAAACAGTTGAGATCCCCACCCCATAACCATCATAAAATTGCTGGGCATGAAAAATCTAATACAGTTATGCTACAAGGATTGGCCTTGGGGTCTGGCATATTCCCTTGGATCTCAATTGGAGAATATTTTGCTATGATTGCTTAGATATCCAGGTGAGCGATACAGGCCCTCTGGGCCTCTTGTTTAATTATCTTCAGCTTGTTTACCTTGTTGCCTATATTTGATCTGGTACTATAGACTGTTTTGTGTTTTGAACAGAGTTTCTCAAGACTCTTAGATCAATATTATTATCTCCTAAAAATTACTTGTTAACCGATCATTAGTTAATCATCAGTCGATGAAGAGAAACCATTGATGGATAGAAAATTTCAACTGATTTCTTATACAAGTCTTCCTCCAAAATAAGAAGACTACATGTATGCTATTAACATACAGTAAAGTGTAGGCTGACTCATTTAGATGTATTTTATAAACGTTTGGTTGGCATTATGTCATTATGATTGGTTTTCAGTGTTGTCTGGTCAAAAGAGCCCCAGCTCTATCAGTAATGGACATGCAGAATATGAAGGCAAGCTCAACCCTAATGCCAAAGGCTTGTACAGTCTTTGTTATCCTAGAGCCAAGGAAGTCAAGAGCTTCTCCGAAGATGTAAGTTTTGGCAGAATGAATAACTTGTTCTTTTTTCCAAACTGTTGGATAAAAGTATATATACACTATGCATAATGTTTCTTCTGAAAATTCTGGATTCCAAAGTTTTTTTACTTTAAAATGAAGGAATATTTTAATAGTATAGGAAATGAAACCAAGAAAATGAGCTTCATGAAAGCGGAATTTGCTCAATAATCAGTGATTTAGTTAAAGAGGTCTACCAGGTATATCAAATAGCTGTCAGATATCTAAAAGTTTAGAAATATCATCTAAAATACTGAAAGCATAAATTTTCCATTTAACTGACTTGATATAAAAATGCCAGCTGAAAACAGCTAAATTCTACCTGTTGAAATCTCTATGGGCAATTATTAATTTTATGCACTGTGAACAAAGATTTTGTTATTGATCTGTAAAAAGTATAGTAAATGATCAAGATTTATTGAATGTTAAATGTTGTTACTTATTCTGTGGTCATTTATGCATTCATCCTGGGCGATATTAATATACTGACAGTCCAGATTCAAATGTTGAATGCGAGATAAATATTTCGCAGTACTAAGTATTTTAAAGAAGCATGAAACCATTTCTTTTATTGTCATAACTGTTACTGATTTCTGATCAACAGGATGTGATGGACAAGTTCTCAGCGTTTGGGGATGTAGATGATGTGAACATGATCCCTGGGTAAGACACGGAGGAACTGGAGCAGTTGGTCTATTCTATTTTTGCTGAGAGCTTGAAAATCTTCGAAAACCTTGTGTCTCTTGAAAATTTCCTTAATTTGAGTTTAGATAAATAACCTACCACCATTTCTCAAGCTCAAAATCTGTGAATTAGATAAACATGATAATCAACCACCATTTGTCGGAGAACCTCTCTAACTAATATGAGTTAGATAAACATGTAGTTACCGAATAGCACACATCTGAGACTTCATAGATAAAAATAGGACTACCAAACAGCACACATTGGAGACTTCATAGATAAAAATAGGATTACCAAACAGCACACATTGGAGAAGCCGTAAAACTCTGTTAGATTAGTAATATAAACTAACCTCACTCATCGGGAAACCTTTATATAAGCTAAAACTAGGAAACAGGTTTGTGTAGTTGTTGTAAGTGTTAAGGATGCACACACAGTTGGACTGGTATTTACATAAGCTGATGAGAATTATCTTATTAAACTGTTATCAATCGTCTTTTAATAGATAAAAATGTTCTCATAGAATCATTGTTTTTATTTTATTTAAAGCTTAATATTCATCCGATTCCGAGATAGATCAAGTGCAATCAAGTGTTTGAATCATTATGAAGTTGGTCTTGAAATGAGAATTGCTGACGAAAGAAAAACAAAGAATATGAGTCAACGTCCTAAGGAATCTGGGGATGCACAAGATAGCCTGATGCAGTCTAGAACGAAAGCACCCATTTCATCCGGTAAGATTTCATTCATCATTTAGATACCGTAAAAACTTGTGTAATTTGCACACTTTTTTGTGAGAAATTTAAGTGGGGGGTGCACAGAATACATAAGTGTATATATGCAAAATATTTGAGTAGAAGCTTTTTAGGGATTTTCAGCCTCAAAAAGTACCTGCGCAAATTACACAGGTTTTTACGGTAGTTCTTTCACAAATATCACACATTTTTGGGGACAAAGGAATTTTGATAATTTTGTTTCAACTAAATTTTATGCTGAAAAATATTTGATCAATAAGTTGGAGGTAAAGTTGTGAGCTTTGAATACATGTCAACTATCCCACTTCAATAAGGCTTGTCCCTCTAAATCCAAGTATACACCATCTGATCCGTTTGTAGGCATAGGACCCAGTTTGGACCTCCTATCTTATACTTCTTACCAGATTTGTCTGTCTTAGAAGACAATTGTCCCTTTTAGAGGATAATGCCAACTTTTTACGTATATAATGCAAATATTACAGCAAATAACATGTATGAACACCTCACAAAGAGGTTTAATACCTTTAACTACCCCAAGAGTCCTTGGACATTGGTTGAGTGAACATGATAATTAAGCTAATGAATGTCACAGGCCATGTTACTTTTGTGGTTGTATTTTAACCCTTTCGCCACTGTAGACCATAATGGACTCGTCCAGATCAACGCATTGTAAAGTCTACTGAAGTTACATAGGGGTGAAAGGGTTAAGAATGCAGCAGTTCATGATTGTGAATGAACTTTTCAAATAATATAAATGAATAATTTGAATGATAAACAATGGTTCAACACACCATGAAGCTGAAGAATTATTGCAAAACGTTTTACAGGCTTTTCTATCCCTCTCTGGGAGTTTGCTAGCCTCAGAGCCTCAGAGGGTCAAATACTGCTCAGGAAACCTTCATCTTCTCTGGTGAACACCAGTTACCAATGCAAAAATATATTCCAGTATTAACTTTGAGGCACTATATCATAGACAATAGTTTTTCTGTTAGATAGAGTTTTTTTCATCACCTCTAAGGAAGAATATAACTTCATTGAGTAATAAAGTACAAATGCATCAGAATGGAGTTGGGGGGGGGGGGTTACAGTACTGTATATTATTCTGCCTCATTAGTATTCTTGTTCTATTTCGGCTAAGACATTATTTTGAATTTGAATGTTTAACCAGGTAAATTATTTAACAATCTTCCGTTGCAATAAGGATTAAATGTAACACATATTTCTTAGGTTGATAAATCATTTATATCAACCTGAACGAATCAATCTACAACTGCTTCAGATGGAAATATGTAAAAATGGAAATTTTCACAGTGGAAATGTGTGCATTTTTTGGGTTGAATGAATTAGCAGGAAAATATCCAAACGCGAATATATCTATATTTACAAATCAATAGGATATACAGATTTCAGAACTATTTCCAATATGAAAATGTCCACGCCACAATAAATTTGAAAATTTACGTGAACATATCCACACAAGAAAATGTTACTTCTGCAGTATCTTATCATCTGTATGTCCCTATGAGAATTATAGTCTTGTGTTTCTTGATTACAGCTTATGGAGATAAAATAGAACTATACATAGGGAACATCAACCAGCATGTTACAAAGGTAAGGTATACATGTGACTTATTATTACCTGGTATTGTTACATTGCAGAAACTGATTTGGTCAATTTTTAGCTCACCTGGTCTGAATGAAGGACCATGGTGAGCTTATGCCATACCGCAGCGGCCGTCGTCCATCTGTTAACTTTTCCTTTAAAACGCTACTAGCCCTGAACGGTCAAGTAGATTTTGACTAAATTTGGTCTAGAGCATCTCTAGGCCAAGGGGACTCAATTTTGTATAAACGGTGGGTGTTGCCTCCAAGGGAGCAGAGGGGCGGGGACAAATAATGGAAATAGAGGTAAAACCTTTAAAATCCTTCTCCTACCGTAGGACTAAAGGATTTTATTCTGATTTAGTCTAGAGCATCTTTCGGCCAAGGGGACTCAATTTTGTATAAACAGTGGGTGTTGCCCCCCTCGGGAAAGAGGGGCGAGGCCGAATATGGGAAATAGCGGTAAAACCTTTGAAATCCTTCTTCTACCATAGGGATGAAGGGATTTTATCCCAATTTGGTCTGGAGCATCCTTGGGCAAAAGGGACTCAATTTTGTATAAATAGTGAGTGTGGCCACCTTGGGGCAGAGGGGGCGGGGCCCAATAGGGGAAATAGAGCAAATTCTTCAAAATCCTTCTTCTTCTGTCAAAAAAACAGGATTTTGTCCAAATTTGGTATGAAACACCCTTTGGTGAAGGGGAACCAACATTGTATAAACAGTTGGCCTGACCTACCTGAGGGCAGAGAGGCGGGCCCAATAAGGGATAAAGAGGAATAGCTTTCATATTCCTTTTCTTCCGTTGGGCTGAAGGTATTTTGACCAAACATTTGAACAGTAGCATCCTATGGGGAAGGGAAATCAATTTTGTATAAACAGTGGGTGTTGCCCCCCTTGTTCCTGAGGGGTGGGGCCCAATAGGGGTAATTTAGCAAATTCTTTAAAAAAAATCTTCTGTAGGAATGACAGGATTTTGTCCATTATTGGTCTAAAGCATCCTTTGGTAAAGGGGACTATATTTTGTATAAACGTTGGGTCTGACCCCCTGGGGCAGACAGGTGGGGCCAAATAGGGAAAATAGAAAAATAGCTTTAAAATCCTTCTTCTTCTGTAGGAATGACAGGATTATGACCATATTTGGTCTAAAGCATCTTTGGGTTAAGGAGAACTAATTTTATATCGGTGGGTCTGACCCCCCTGGGGGCAGAGGGGCGTGGCCCAATTTTGGAAACATAACAAATTTTTCAAAATCTTCCTTTTCCTGTAGGAATGACAGGATTTTGTCCAATTGCATATAAATATAACCCCTGACTAATGTAATACATGTAGAGCAACATCTGACTATTTCAACTTCAATTTTGCTAACATTTCCAGGTGAGCGATACAGGCCCTCTGGTCCTCTTGTTCTTGATGGCAAAGGCCAAGCGAATTTACTTTTTGCCATGGAACAGCATGTGTCATCATGTCCTTGTTTGTCGCTTTTTTTTCCTGTCTTTCTTTCATATTTTCGGATATTTCATGCGTGACATAATCCATGGATTTTGATGCATGAGAAAATTTTGAACAAATCAATGCTGCGGGTGCCAAGGCAAAGGTCAAGGTCACCATTACTATGTATAGATTTTTTTTCTATCAAATCAGATAGTGGTCAAGAGTGACAATACCTGGAACAAGTTTGTGTTTTGGAACAGATTTTGTAAAGTTTCATGTAATGGTGAAGTGTAATGATAACTCAAACTATTTTGGCACTGTTAATAGAGTGAGCCATAACAAGGTAATGTTACTAGAGTGAGACATAACAAGGTACTGTTAATAGAGTGAGCCATAACAAGGTAATGTTAATAGAGTGAGACATAACAAGGTAATGTTAATAGAGTGAGCCATAACAAGGTACTGTTACTAGAGTGAGACGTAACAAGGTAATGTTAATAGAGTGAGCCATAACAAGGTAATGTTAATAGAGTGAGCCATAACAAGGTAATGTTACTAGAGTGAGACATAACAAGGTACTGTTAATAGAGTGAGACATAACAAGGTACTGTTACTAGAGTGAGACATAACAAGGTACTGTTACTAGAGTGAGACATAACAAGGTACTGTT